GTGTAGCGATACGCGCGAAAAAAAAAACCTTTTTACAAGTGCTTGTTCCAGCTCTTTGCAATTAAACATTTAAATGACATGCATAGGGAAGCGGCACACCGCCGAAGCGGTTATCGCAAGCTAAAGCGCCTGATGCTGAGGAAATACAATCTGGTGCGATTTCAACCCTTGATTTTTCCCGAGAAGCTTAGCAATAGCTTATTGATTTCCCCAAAGGAATGGCTATTTCACAAACTGCACATTTTACAGCGGGGTCGGAGGTCAGAGGGTGACTTTTATATAACAGCGCTCCCGAGGCGGTTGAGCGAGAAGTTTTCGTCTTGTGTCTCTCGTTGGACGATGCGCGGCGGGCGAACGCGAGCCCACACACATAACCCAGGTACACAGCATCGCTCCGAGGGCCGGGCGAGGGAGGCAGCGCTTCGTCATCGCGGTATATACCTGTGTACACGACGATTAATAGAAAAAGCACAGCTGTTAAGTACAAGAGTTTACGAGGGAAGAGACCAAAGCATTGAAAAGACTCCCAGTGGAAAAGAAAAAAAAACACAAACAGGCAGAGACGTACTGAACAGAAATAAATGTAAAAACACACAAAAAACAAGCTAGACAGATTAGCTGTAGATGGACAACTGGCAAGCCGGCCCCCGATTACAAACAAGGTTAGGCGTTCGATTCCCAGGGCTACGCTATTAATATCTGCACTCATTGGAGTCGTAACCACACGGCAGACATTATATATCCCATCTATACGTCCTCTCTCTATTATATATAGTAGACAATCCCAACATGATATAACCACCACACAAAAGGAAACAGTAAATACTGAAACCGAAAGACAAGATGAAATGGCATTTAGATTGCATCTTACTTCCCCACTGTGACACATTTCCAAACTAAAGCATGTAATTGGCATGGGGGAAAAACAGAGACGAAATGTGATTTGATCATTCTGCGGTTCATTGGATCGCACCAAAGCGATAAAACGCGCTAACCAGCTGTGGGTTATACCATTACATGCTGTATATGAGGAGGCCGCGTGGACTGTTATGATATTGAACGTTGATTTGCTAAAGTTGTCGTCCAAAAGACCAAAATCAGATAGGTAGATAGTGTCACCCCACGAATGATGCAATACCGAATACAACGTTATACAAAACATGACAACATGAAACATGTCTATTGAGGAACAATGACAGAGGTGGGAGAGACATTTTACACACAATAGAAAAACATATAGACATATATCAACATAAAATAGCTAATACAGTTATACAAATAACAGTTATTTTTTCTTGATCTTTTCCAATGTTTTTGCCATACTTTGTAGACTTGGTGAATGATATGAATGTGGAAATGAGCTCCGAAGGTGAGAAAGGTAAAAACTTAATTTTAAACACATAGGTTGATTGATTAACAAACGCTGAACATCTGACAGAGGGCGTGGCTCGTGTCAAACAGCTGTCACCGTGACGATAAACTCTTTCATCATCCCCTTGACGTCTCGTCTGATTCATATTCAAGACCAAACAACACAGCTGGACCTTTAGGACGCAGTGAGTGACTCCAACCTGTAGGGGCAGACCATGCCGCCCCGAGAGTCACTTCATACCAAGTTTTTAAAAACTGGGTTTTTTTTCAGGAAGTGAAGCTGAAGAACCAATGAATGAGCTTGGAAAGTGACAGGCTGAACTCCATGTTTGTCTGTAGAGAGCCTAAGTCCCTCCCTTTCTGGTGGACCACCATGGGACCGTATTATACTAAGTCCCTCCCTTTCCGGTGGACCACCATGGGACCTTATTATACTAAGTCCGTCCCTTTCCGGTGGACCACCATGGGACTTTATTATACTAAGTCCCTCCCTTTCCGGTGGACCACAATGGGACCTTATTATACTAAGTCCCTCCCTGTCCGGTGGACCACAATGGGACCTTATTATACTAAGTCCCTCCCTTTCCGGTGGACCACAATGAGACCTTATTATACTAAGGCCCTCCCTGTCCGGTGGACCACCATGGGACCTTATTATACTAAGTCCCTCCCTTTCCGGTGGACCACAATGGGACATTATTATACTAAGTCCCTCCCTTTCCGGTGGACCACAATGGGACCTTATTATACTAAGTCCGTCCCTTTCCGGTGGACCACCATGGGACTTTATTATACTAAGTCCCTCCCTTTCCGGTGGACCACAATGGGACCTTATTATACTAAGTCCCTCCCTGTCCGGTGGACCACAATGGGACCTTATTATACTAAGTCCCTCCCTTTCCGGTGGACCACAATGAGACCTTATTATACTAAGGCCCTCCCTGTCCGGTGGACCACCATGGGACCTTATTATACTAAGTCCCTCCCTTTCCGGTGGACCACAATGGGACATTATTATACTAAGTCCCTCCCTTTCCGGTGGACCACAATGGGACATTATTATACTAAGTCCCTCCCTTTCCGGTGGACCACAATGGGACCTTATTATACTAAGTCCCTCCCTTTCCGGTGGACCACCATGGGACCTTATTATACTAAGTCCCTCCCTTTCCGGTGGACCACCATGGGACATTATTATACTAAGTCCCTCCCTTTCCGGTGGACCACCATGGGACCTTATTTCGGAAAAGAAATATGTACAGTAGTCAACCAGATCCCGTTTAAATTGTGCCATGAAATATGCCATGATGTTTGTCTAGGCTAGGAGGTAGGCAGGGAAAGGGAGTGACAAGTATACGCTGCTGTCATCCAATTTTTATAGTAGTAGACCTAACAAAAACATCAATATTATACAATCATGAAATAATAAAAAAAAAACACAAGTTCGGGAACCAGTCCAAACTCAGAGCTGCCCTCGAGAAGATGTTTCACTATAATATACATACTGACTCAGCAACATTTTTGTCAGTTGTTTTTTAAAAGTATTCATGGAATGGGCAGATTTAATTTAGTTTGTGTTTGTGTAGAGAAGTGTGCTTTTCTCCCTACTTTGCTTTTTGGATTGGGTTGTTTGAGGTGAGACAACACAGGCCCTCGTATTCAGGGCCGTGAGAGTCCCCAACATACTGAAAATACCCGGTAAAATAGTTGGTGGACATAGACCATGTCAAATCTTAAAGACCATAATAACTTCAATAACAAGCCAGTTCAACCCTTTAAATTGGTTTGGGCTAATTTAAGGACGACCATCATTAGTTTGTTCATAACGATCTCTCTCCACAAGCTACGCTGTGTTTTTCGTACCGGGATGTCGTCAAAATTCAAGGTAAGATACATGTTGGTGCTGGTGACGTATATTGTGTGAGACGAGAGATGTAGTGCACTGAGTGGCTTCGCACATAATAAATGCTACTTTACTGTTTTTTGCGACAAACTTTGACTTTCCTGACTTGCAAAATTATCTTTTAAATTGACGAACATCGTATGTGGCTGTTGCCGTTCACTACTGTACATCTTTTCTGAAATGAGGTCCAATTCTGGACAGCGGAAAGGGAGAGACTTAGGCTCTCTATAGGGAAACTCTATATTTTAGGCCCTAGTTATTGATAAAGTACAGATAATCTGACTTGTTATCTTCATTATATAGAAAATATATATAACATAAGAAGATAACTGTATGTTTTCTGTTTTATATCCTGTGTATTGTATTTTGGGGGCGGCAGTAGCTCAGTCCGTAGAGACTTGGCTTGGGTACCGGAGGGTCGCCGGTTCAAGTCCAGCATGGACCACAGTGTGGAGTGTGGACCGGTGGCTGGAGAGGTGCCAGTTCACCTCCTGGGCGTTGCTGCCGAGTTGCCCTTGAGCAAGGCACCGAACCCCTAACTGCTCCCTGGCGCCGCTACCTGGCAGCCTGTCACTCCACCATCTCGCCTTGCATGTAAAAAGTTGAGTGGTGAAGTAATTTCCCCAATGTGGGATTAATAAAGTAAATCTTAATCTTATTGTGGGCCGTGTGTTGGAGTGTGTGCTTAATGATGGCTGTTGGACCAGCTGCTGTGGTTTCCAATGGAAAACAAAGAGCAGCTGCTTTTGTTTTTGGACTCTACCTCAGCGTAAAAGGATGTAGACAAGATTCGCTGGGACATTAAGTCTCAAGCAACTTCTCTGGTAATAAGAGATCCAAGATCATTTCCCATCTCTCGTTTCCTTCTGCTCTGCAGGACTGAGCAAAGAAACCCCCAGAAAAAAAGTGAACACTTCTCCATGACTGCACCTTATAGGCCCTATAGGGTGCAGTCAAACATCCTTGTACAGTACATCAGAGTGCCTCATGGGATTTGTGTTTCCGATACTCCTCCATATCTAGAGGATTCAAGAGAGTTGTAGCAGTACTGTAAAATCCTAAATCAACATAAAAATGACATTTTTATTTTATCGACACTCTCTTCAGAAGGACCAGCCTTATTAGAAAGTGTTGAACACTTTGCACCACCCAGGGTTTACTCTGGCGCACACTTCAGAAATATGAAAGCAGAGCTGCCTGGACAAAAAAAACAAAAAAGAAAATTATTGTACACTAGCAAAGAAAAAAGAAAAAAAAACAGCTGAATAATTAAAGCGCGATCCAAAATTCAGATCTGATCCACGGCGGTTTTCCCGAGAGACAACATCTGTGAAAAGATGTTTTCTTCTCCACGCCAGGTAGCTGCTTTTACAGTAATTACAGTCATGTGGAAAATTTCAAGTGGGGTTGAACATCAAAACGCTAATTATGTGAAAAAGAAAGGATTCGAGATCAAGCAATACGGGAGATTGTTTGGCAAAACCACTTCTGCTTGCAAGGCTTGATTTGTGATTTATTTACCAGAGTTTGTTGCTGTACTTAAAGCCTGCTGTATTGTTTTTAAATGTCCCAGCTCTGATACTAAAACTACAATAACTTCACATCTGCTTTGCTTGACACATTAGCGCAGCTTTCTGTATCACCACTTGGTTAAACATTCGCAGAACTGAACTGGAATAGTAGTTAAAAAAGTGCTTGCGCGCAAACCTTGACGACGAACGCAGCAGGATAGCACAGTGGCTACAGTGATTCGCTCCGAGCCGAAAGTTACCGGGTTCGATCCCCGGGCGCCGCGGTCCAACTCTAGACGTCCTTGAGCAAGTTATATGATAATGCCTTGGATAAAAGCATCATTTTAAAGGATTCAATGGGCAGGATAGCCTCGTGGTCCGGGTGTCCGACTCCCATTAACCTGCATGCCTTTGCGAGATGCTTAACCCCTACCGGCTCTTTAGTGACTCATATCTGTCCTTTATCCAAATATACTGTGGATAAAAGTGTCCGCTGAATGACTAAATAGCAAAATTGAGGTAAACCGTAGGATCGAGAGAGTACTTCAGCGTTCAATAAACAACAATGATTGTTTTCCTTTTCAGTGCATTTATTCGTATTATCCGTGGAAGGAGAGCTAATCTTTCCTCGTACCTCGCGGCTTCGCAGTCCACCTCTGGGGGGGGGGGGGGGAATGGCGTACATGCGTTCATCGAATCACTTAGCCTGTCTGAGTCTTTCTAAAGGTACGGGGGGAAGTTGAAATCATTTCAACTTTGACCCCCGCATGTCGGCGCTCCGCATGACGTAACGCGCCGACTTGGATGGATTCGCACAGCCGCAGCCCGAAAAGGCAGCAGCATGTTTTAAGCTGCGGGTGATTTTCTGTGTGTGTGTTTTAGCCTCACCACCGCTTCTCAAGTGAACGCCGCTTAAGAGAGGCACTGAGGAGGAGGAGGAGGAGGAGGAGGAGGAGGAAGGCCATAGCAACGCTGTCTGCCAAGATGGAATTAAAATGTCAGCGCGTGCCGGCGCCGCTGACCCCCGGCGACCTCTATGCAAATCATCTGAGAGCCGACGGTGTGGAGTGGTAGTCTGCTGCCGGCGAGCAGACCTCACCCTTGGGAGGGGGGGGGGGGGGTAAGGGGGGAGAGCTGGGTTTTTTAAGATAAGTTTTGACAAGATAACACGTTCTCTCACATTTAAGATAAAAAATAATGGCCGAAGGCGCCTGATACACTTTCCTCTGTGCGTATGCGTGTGTGTGTGCATGTGTGTCTCTCTGTGTGTGTCTGTCTTCTGGCCACCCCTGCATGGGAGTGTCTAATTGCTCTTTCCTGCTCTCTCCCCCCAAAAAAATAAAAAGCGACTGAAATTCAGTTCAATGAAATTCAGTCATTTTCCGCGGTGAAAATTAACTGCCACGCCTTATCTACTCTACACTGTTTGCGTGTGTGTGTGTGTGTGGGGGGGGGGGCTTACATGCTACTTTGGAGCAAAGCCTTGGGTTTGTGTTTTCCAAAGCTTTGATTAAGACTATGGGTTTCCACTTGCACCAGTCGATGGCCGGGCCGAGGGTCCCTGATCGCTGTCCAAAGTGCCGCCGTCGTTGCGGCGACACATTCATCACACTTGGATGGCGATCCGGCGACGGATGCGTCCGCTGATGGACGACAAAAGGGACGTCGATACCCAGGACAAAGGCATTGATATCCAAATAAAGACAATAAGACCATCGACCGGCGGGTTTGATTGGCATGCCGCGTCGCTGTGTGTCCGCGCGTGTGTTGGCGTGTGTGTGTGTGTGTCTGTGTGTGAGTGTGTGTGTGTGTGTGTGAGTGAATTGCGATGGATTTCCAATCCTTGCTCCTCTGCTTTTTTTGCCTCCTCCTTCTCCTCCCTCTTCCCCCCCCCTCCTGCATTGCCATTGACTGGCCGCCTAATGTATTCTGCTGGTGGCACTTTGCCGCGACACCCGCCACTCCCAGAGCTGGGGCCCGGTTCCCTCCGTATCAGGGGAGAGAAAAAGGCGAAGCGGATCGATCGCTGTTAATTATGCGGATGTAACCAGGGGTGGCACACACGGGCCGGCTCCTCTGCTGCGAGGAGTCGATAAAGGTCACACAATTAGTTTTCTTCACCTCTACCTCCCCCGCACACCCCCGCCCCCCACCCCCCCCCCCCCGCCCCACTTCAAAATTTTCTTTCTCGGAGGTTCAATAATTGCTGTCTTCAGATGGACACTGTTTTTTCCCCCCGCACTATTTGGTTAGACACACACACACACACACTTCCATCCGTTCGTGTCTTTACAATACGGACTAAAAACTCATTTATATTCTTTTGCCCATGGCCTCTGACATATTCCATTGCTTTTACTATTTTGACAGCCTGCACTTTCATATTACTTATTTTAACTGAAACTTTTGTTCAAATGTGTGTATTTACTGCATTTATGTGCATTTATTGCACTGACATCGGTCCATTACTTTGGTTAAAACCTGGTTTTCTTTTGCCATATAAATGCTTTTTCTATGTAAATAATACAAATAAAAATAAACTTGAAACTTTAACCTTCACGCACAAACTCACACCCATGGCTGAATACCGTGGCAAGACTTAGGAATACATTATGCAGTTTCCCAAGCCATTTATCACTTTTTTTGTATGACTGGATGAGAGAATGAATATTGGATTATTCAAAGGAGGTTAATAGAATAGCTGCTGGTTTTATTGGTTTGAATTTGTTTGGATTGACGTGTGTTGGGGCTAAAAGTAATAAATGTGTGTCGGCAGATTTGCTGAGTTATATACCGCGAGGGCTCAGAGCCAAGATGGAAAAATGTATTAGGACAATAATCAGAGAGAAGTTTATACAGTGTCGATATGAATCATAATAAGCAACCGGCTTTCATTACATTGCAGTCAGCGGTCACTTAAGGCGTGACATCTGGGCTAACGCTCCGCTGCCCTCCCCTGCATAGTTAGTAACTACTAGCTAGCATACTTAGTTCTAGCTTATTGTGTATACAAATACAATATATATTTGTTTATGTGTTTATATAGACGTATGTGCGCTAATTGCTGAATCTTTGTGGAAAGGAAAGCGAGGTAATTAATGGAGAGTCAAGTGCTTTTCGGGGGAATTACCGGTTTAGTGTCCAACTGACCACCAAGAAGTCATTTTAGATCCATCTTCTCAGTTGCACCATTTTATGTCACAACACACACAGTGGACGGTGTACATGAGCTATGCTATCACTAGGCTAATGCTAGCTACTCACTATGCTATGGCTAGGCCAATGCTATGCAAAAACTATGCTACTGCTAGGCTAATGCTATGTCACTATGTTATCGTTGCCCTAATGCCACACTAGAAGCATTCACAAAAAAATGCTCTCTCTCTCTCTCTCTCTCTCTCTCTCTCTCTCTCTCTCTCTCTCTATCTAACCCCATGATCAGCTGAGAAAGTAAAATGTAAATTAAAAGACCTGAGTCTGTTCCCCCGGCGGCCGCACAGCCCCTTTGTAACTCCGTCGTACGCTGCATCGTGTTCCCGCCGCTTTAACCGCCATTCAACTCACAACACAACAAAAATGAGGTTGAAGTAATCTCGAAAACCGCCAACAAAGGCTAACTTTATAAGTGAAGTACCGGTATCATTTGGTTATGTTGTTGTTGCTCTTTAGATGGAAATGCTTATTTGCATGCAATTCACAGCCTCCATTTGTTTTATCTGGCAACCACATTTCATATTTTCATCTTGGAATAAGTAAAACGGCTGTGTGTGATTTTTTTCTAAATTGTGTTTGTTCTTTTTCAAAAAACGAAACAGCCCTTGGGAAAGTGTTGAACTCTTAATTGTAAAGTGGACCTGGAGTGCATAAACCTTTCTACCTAAAGTTACAAGGCTCACAGAGCTATTGTTAAAAAACGCGAGCTGTTTGTTTTTCGTAACTATCAGAATTGTATGGTGCTAATTGTACTGCGACTAACGATGATGTTGTTGCCACTACTGGTTTGACTATTTTGCTTGCACTCTGTGTCGTGTTGAGGATGTAGCTAATTATTTAGTTTGATAACGACAATTAGTGTTGCATTTAGCAATGAACCGATGCCAAAGAAGAGGCGCTGCAGCAGAACACAAACACATAGCATGTTTGTAGTAAGTTTGATTGTAATCTGATCGTAAAACTGTTCCGTGTAAATCGGCCGATAATTACAATTTCATAACGTCGGGTTTATTTGCACAACCCTTTTATCACGGTCCACAACCTCAAAGGGCTCTATGTGGTTCATATTTGATGATAAAATAAGCCCACAAAGGGTTGATGAAAAAGTCCCACAAATCCGACAAAAGTGGGAAGATAATGCCAGCGATCTTTAACTTCTGATTCTCTAACTTTCCAAGTTTTCTTTCTTTGCCTATTGTGTAACCTATTTTCCCACTTGAAACACCAACAGCACTAGAACTGTGTGGATGGATATTTGGGCTGTAGGTTTTTTCTTTTTGAGATACATCGCCTCGCATGATAAAGGTATAGGATCGGATCAGATTTTCTTCAATTTTATTTTGTGGAGATTCGATTGAACTGAAATGTAATGTGATTGCCGAGAGGGGGGGTCCAAAAGTGGGGTAGAAATCGTATTACCCAGGCAACACACTGTGCAAACAAGTGTGTGATTCAGTCACCGCATTTAATGGTGCATTTGGTAGTTACTTCCCACAGCACAAGCAGACCACTTCGGGGGGTAAACCTGGCGATCTTGACGTTTATTATTACATTTTTTGGCTGCGGTGCTAATAAAGAAAACCAATAATGAACCCTCGAGTTTCCTCGTCTGCCGGCCCTTCTGCCAAGCAACTCGTAAAAAGCTCATCAACTGTACATGGGAGTGGTGAGTTGGCCAACGACAGGCCTTGTTACTGGAAACCTCCACTCTGAAATAAATCCTGGTTCTGCCACCTGCCCCCCCCCCCCCCCCCCCCCCTCCAACCACCACCACCACCACCCCTAAGCTAGGACAAACCCTTTCACCACATCGCTTGCATAGCCCCTCTTGAGATCATCCCCCAAAAACCGACACAAAACACCTTACCAAGCAAACTCGGAAATTCGGGAGCACAGTGGTCAACTGGAGAAAAAAGGAAAAGAGGCTGCAGCAGCTCTGCGGTACTTCGGCTCCGGCTGTTCATCCTCGATGCGTGGCTTTGGTTTTTTTCTCGTCTTCGGAAAAAAACCTCAGGCCTGCCTATCGTTGAGTACCGGCGGACGTGAATACGCCCCCCCCCCCATGCCCTTTATCAC